AGTAATGACATACCATCATCTCTGCTATTTGCCATTAGTCACACAGAACCCTGGTACAGTGTTGGGGGGTGGTCCACACAAAGGTGTGAATACCAAAGAGAGGAATATTTGGGTGCCATTTTAGAGGAGGCTAACTACTGCAAGCCTAAATAGTAGATTGATTAGTTTTGCCTGTTTTTAAACTGCACATAAATACAATACTGTCACCCAGGCTGGAGTACAGTGCCGTGATCATAGCTCACTGCAGCCTTGAAGTCCCAGCTAGGCTTAAGCAATCCTCTCGCTGCAGCCTCCCTAGTAGCTGGTGCATGCCACCACGCCTGGCTAATTTTTTTAAAAATTCTTTGTAGAGATGGGGTCTCGCGATGTTGCCCAGGCTGATCTCAAACTTCTGGCCTCAAGCAATCCTCCTACCTTGGCCTCCCAAAGTGCTGGGATTACAGGTGTGAACCTCTGAGGAAAGCCTCATCAACCTATTTATTGAATGCCTCAGTTTTAATTTTTTTCCTGTGTTATAAAAACCTTGCATAAACATGTGGATAAATCTGCATTTCACTTCTTTTCTTTAAATAAGATTCCAATCCAAGACCATTTTCCAATCATCTTTCAAGAGCCATTTTCAAGGTTCTTGAAAATATTGCAAAGTTCCTTTCCAAAAATACTATATCCATCTCTCCAAAATATAAATTTCTTCATGTTCTTTCTGCTTCAGAAAGCCTACCAGGCTCCTCTGGTGCCTCTCTGGCACAATGCACTTGTGGATACACAGTTACATTCCGTCTTCCCTCCACCACTCCCCTCTCAGCCATCCCAGTTTATTTCCAGGACACACCATGGGCCTAACACTGGGATGCCAGGCCTCTGCTCAGGCAATGCCTTCTGCCCGAAATGCTCTTACTTCCCTTCTCTCCCAGGCAAAATTCTGTTCTCCTTTTGAGGGTCAGTTCAGTAGAGCCCCTGTCTCAGGGCAGAGCTTATCCTCCCTCTGCTGGGCTCCCAAACACATTTAGACCCTAAGACCCTAGAATGATATTTTTCACGTTGAAATAATTGTGACAACACAGATTTTAAAAATGTAAATCAGATCCTGTCCCGCCCCTCCCACCCCAGTTAAAAAACCCTCCAATGGAATAGAATAGAAAGCTCAGAAATCAACACAATATATTTCGGAATGGAGTTACTGACAATGGAGACATTTCGAATCAATAAGGAAAAGGTAATATATGGGGATAATTCGATAATTCTTTGGAAAAAAAGTTTTGGACTCCTACCTCACACCTTCCACCAAAGTGAATTTATGGTAGAACACGGATTTAAATGTACAACATATACAAAATGTACTATGTAAAAACTAGAAGAAAACAAGGAAAATTGTTTTTATAGTACTGAACTGGAGAACATCTAAGTATTATATAGAATCCAGAAGGCACAAAGGAACTGATAAAATACATACAAAATAAAAATTTTCCATGGTAATAAATATTAAACTTGAAAACATTTGCAATTTGTATGTAGAAAAAAGGATTAAACACTTGTATAAATAATGAGAAAAAAACTCAATAGAAAGACCAACTGAGGCTGGGCACAGTGGCTCAATTCTGTAATTTTAGCACCTGGGGAGGCCAAGATGGGAGGATTGCTTGAGGCCAGGAGTTTGAGATCAGCCTGAGCAATATGGAGACACTGTCTCCACAAAAAACAAAAAAATTAACCCATGGTGGCATGCACCTATAGTCCCAGCTACTTGGGAAGTTGAGGCAGGAGGACTGATTAAGCCCAGGAATTTGAGGTTACAGTAAGATATGATCCCTGCACTCCAGCCTGGGTGACACAGTGAGACCTTGTCTCTAAAAAAATAAAATAAAATACAAAGATCCCCCCAAAAAAGGCTAAAAATATCCGCTCCCCCAAAAGGCTAAAAAATATGAAAAATTGCTCAACTTTACTCACAATAAAAAGAAATGAAAAATGAAAGTGCCTGTTGTTTTTACCTATCTGATTGGCAAGGATAAAGTTTGATAACACACTGAGTGTGTTCGGTATGCAAGGAAACAGGCACTCTCACACTTTATTGACAGGAGGATAAACCGGTAGATTTGCTGTGTAGACCACTTTGCTAAAATCTATTAAAATAAAACAAAAACAAATTTATATGCTCATTTGCCTGCAATTCCACTTCCAGGAATTTTTTTTTTTTTTTTGAGACAGAGTATCACTCTATCGCCCTGTTTAGAGTGCAGTGGCGTCATCATAGCTCACTGCAACCTCAAATTCTTGGGCTCGACTGATCCTCCTGCTTCAGCCTCCCGAGTAGCTGGGACTGCAGGAATATACCACCATACCCGGCTAACTTTTTACATTTTTTTTTGTACAGATGGGGGTCTTGCTCTTGCTCAGGCTGGTCTTGAACTCCTGAGCTCAAGCACTGCCCCCACTTCAGCCTCCCAGAGTGCTAGGATTACAGGTACGAGCCACCATGCCTGGCCCACTTCCAGGAATTTTTCCCTTACAGATAAACTCTCATATATGCAGAATAATGAATGGACAAGTTATAGCATTATTTGTAATAGGAAAAAATTGGAAACGACCTAAATGTTTCCAAATAGGGGGTATGGGCAATTGAATTATGGCATGTCCTTATAAAGTTAATTAATTTAAAAAATTGAAGCAGCTTTAAAATGCATAGGTCAGTGAAAAAAAGCAAGGTGTAGAAGTGTTCATAGCATACTGCCCATTGTATAAAACATTTATACATACAAATATGCTTTTGAATACAGCTACCATCTCTGAAAGGCTACACAGGAAAGGTGTTAAGAGTGATGACCTCTATGAGGGGATCTAGGGGCTGGAAAACAGGGTGGAAAAGGCCTTAGTTTTTATTCCATGCTCTTTTGTTTATTTTTAATATTCAGTGTTCCTGTATACCTATTTTTTTAAGCAGTATATCTAGAAGCACACCTGTATGCCTATTTTTAACCAACAAAACTAACATAAAACACCTTGCAATGTTTAGAATCAAGCCCAACTCATTTCCACGATCAATTTTCCAACCTTCTCTCACACCATATTTGCCCTCCCTCACCACCTTCCAGCCACATCGCTTCTCTTCCAGCCTCTGGAGCATGCCAAGACCTTCCTGCCTTAGGACACGTGCTCTTTCTCTCCGCCTACGTTGATGTTCTCTAGGCTCTTGCTATGAGTTGGAATTTTCTTATCCTTTATGCCTTGGGTTCAATGTCATCACTTCAAAGAGGCCATCTCTGGCCACCCTAAATAAATAATTGTTGAATAAATGCTTCTCTTTCACTGGGCAGGGAGGGTAGGGCTTACATCCTTGACCACCCAGTCTAAAGCAGCACCTCTCCCTTCACCCTCTTTATCACAATACCCTGATTTGCTTTCTTCACAGCACTAGTCACTATGTGTAATTACCTTTTGAGCCTTTAACAGTGGAGTGTAAAAATAAAAATTTTTAAAAATTAAAAAGAAATAATTTTGTGTATTTTCTTTTCTTTTTTTCTTTTTGAGACAGAGTGTCACTCGGTGGCCCAAGCTAAAGTGCTGTGGTGTCAGCCTAGCTCACAGCAACCTCAAACTCCTGAGCTCAAGTGATCCACCTGCCTCAGCCTCCCGAGTAGCTGGGACTACAAGCACATGCCACCACGCCCAGCTCATTTTTTCTATTTTTAGTAGAGATGGGGGTCTCGCTGTTGCTCAGGCTGGTCTCGAACTCCTGACCTCAAGCGATCCTCCTGCCTCAGCCTCCCAGAGTACTAGGATTACATGTGTGAGCCACTCGCTACACCTAGCCCATTCTTGTCTTGTTCCTAACCCTATCTTCAGCAACCCAAACAATAAACATTTGTTGAATGAATTCATGCAGCATATACTATGGGACATATGGATTTTACAAATAATAACTCTTTAAATCCTCACAATAACTCAATGAGAGATGTTGGTGTTATTACCCATTTTACTGTTGAGGAAATTGAGGCACAGAGTAGTTGATAAACTTGCCCAACTGGTAGAGTTACAATCCAGAGACAAAATGCTTAGCCACACCGCGACGCTTTTTCTATATATAAACTGATGGATGAAACAGACCGAATGAATGAATTAAGGGAAATGTGACTATAAATGTGGATTTTTTGCGTCTACGGATCCCTCAGATGTACCGCCAGGGGGCGCCCGCTCTCCGGGCCTGATGTCAGTCACTCAAGGCGCGCACTCCCTTGCGTCTCGGGCTCGCGCGCGTTGCCGCGGCACCGGAAGTGACTGAGCTTGCAAGTTCCCCCGGTCTCTTCAGGGGAAACTGAGGCCGGCTTGTTCAGGAGAGACGGCGCGAGCAGTCAGCCAGGTAGGCCAGCCCGGGTCCGCGGCGCAGAACACGGCCGCGAAGAGCCCTCAAGTCTGGAAACCACCGGGCTGATGAAGGGGTATGTGGCCCCCCACGGCTCTCGGGGCTCGCAGGTGAGAGCGCCACCTCCCTTGTATGTGACAGCTGCTCCGCCCAATGGGAGCCTTCGCCGTCCCGTTTCCGTGCTGACTGGGCTCGCTGATTGGCTACGTTGGGGCGGGTGGCTGGGGGCGAGACCCCTCCTCCCAGAAAGGTCTAGGGGGCGCCCCTGAGGGAGGGAGGTTGCCTAGCAACGGGGCGGTGGCTCGCTGAGTACCCGGCCTAGCCAGCGCGAGAAGCCGCGAGGCCGCCGCCCGCCCACCGTGGGCTCTGGAGAGGTGCAGTCCCTGGCCCCCGAGCCCTCCTGGGGGCTCCAAGAAGCTACCTTAGGCCTGTCCCCAGGAAAACGTGTTCTCAGCCGTGCGGAGCCTTGAGCAGGCCTCGAACCCTCTTTCTGACCTGAGGAGAGGCCCTGCGCCTCACCCTCACCCCGTCTTTGTGCAGGGCGCCGGCGGCCATTGTGTCCGGGCGGGGAATGGAGGACCCGGCAATCCCCCACCGCCACGTCCGGGGCCTTTGGGGAATTCAAAGAAAACTAGCGGCATTTGTGGGGGCTCTCCGGCCTTCAGCCTCCCGGAAAGGCCCGGGGGTGGCCTTTCCGAAGTCAGATCGCAGATCCGTGGCAGTTTCCCTCTCCTTGCGTCCGTCATCGAAACCTTGAACCCCATTGAGAAGTCCCTTCAGGGCTTTGGAAGCCTGACCCTAGGCTGGAATAGGAAAAAGAAAAAACCAAAAAACTAAACTAAACCCGTACCAGCCACCTCCGGGAGAGTTCTCCTGACTCCCAGTAGGAGGCGGAGAGCCAAGGGGCGTGCAAGAGCGAGGGGGCTGGGCTCCCGGGTGGCAGGAGGCCGCGGCTGTGGAGCGGCCGCCCTCGATCCGGGCGATGGAGGAGGAAGCAAGCGAGGGGGCTGGTTCCTGAGCTTAATTCCTGTGTCGCCTTCTGAGCTCCCAGCCTTGCCGGGTCGCATGATCCCTCCGGCTGGAGTTGCTTTTTTTGCCAGCCGCCGCGAGGCCGGCTGAGTTACCGGCATCCCGGCCACCACCTCCTCTCCCGACCTATGATACAAAAGATCTTCCGGGGGCTGCACCTGCCCGCTGTCGCCTGAGACGGATTTGAATGTAGGTGGTGCGGGGTGGGGGTGGGGGGGCCGCTGCCCATGAGGGTGACTTTCCGAGGAAGGCATTTCAGAGAAGAGGGGGTGGCTGGGGTAAAAAAGGCCAGTGGGAGATTCAGAGCCCACTGGTGGTTTCAATTTGACTTCATTGAAGTCTCTTGGAACCTAGACCCAGACCTCCTAAGAGCCACAAAGAAACCAGTCTGGTACCTGGAGGGGGAATGGGATGGTGTGGGGTAAAAGGCATACATATTAATTTTTTTTTTCCTGAAGCTCTTTCTCTCCCTTTAGAATCTTATCTTGGCTTTGGATCTTAGAAGAGAATCACTAAGCAGAGACCAGACTCAGTGAGTGAGCAGGTGTTTTGGACAATGGACTGGTTGAGCCCATCCCTATTATAAAAATGTCTCAGAGCAACCGGGAGCTGGTGGTTGACTTTCTCTCCTACAAGCTTTCCCAGAAAGGATACAGCTGGAGTCAGTTTATCGATGCAGAAGAGAACAGGACTGAGGCCCCAGAAGCGACTGAATCGGAGATGGAGACCCCCAGTGCCATTAATGGCAACCCATCCTGGCACCTGGCGGACAGCCCCCCAGCGAATGGAGCCACTGGCCACAGCAGCAGTTTGGATGCCCGGGAGGTGATCCCCATGGCAGCAGTGAAGCAAGCACTGAAGGAGGCGGGCGATGAATTTGAACTGCGGTACCGGCGGGCATTCAGTGACCTGACATCCCAGCTCCACATCACCCTAGGGACAGCATATCAGAGCTTTGAACAGGTAGTGAATGAACTCTTCCGAGATGGGGTAAACTGGGGTCGCATTGTGGCCTTTTTCTCCTTCGGCGGGGCCCTCTGCGTCGAAAGCGTAGACAAGGAGATGCAGGTATTGGTGAGTCGGATCGCAACTTGGATGGCCACTTACCTGAATGACCACCTAGAGCCTTGGATCCAGGAGAACGGCGGCTGGGTAAGCCTTGTGTGTCCCTTTTCTTTGGCCTCTGGTCAGAGAGATCCCCAATAGCCCTTCCCTGTGTCTGTTGTGTTGGGTGATTGTTGGAGGTGTTGATTCTTAAGGAGACCTGACTGGCCTCATTTCACCACAAGAGGTCAACTGTTTGGAAATATAGATGACCCAGTTCTTGAAGGACCAGGCATATTTCACTCTGATCATCCTCATGACTCTACTCTTTCATACTTGTGTTCCAATTTCTCAGCAAAGAAAAACATAGCTGATGTGTTCATTTGGCCCAAAACCTGTGAGAGTGGGGAGTTAGCTCAGTGTTCCCTTCGCCCTGACACGGTCATTCACCACATAAAGGGGTGATGACTATCATGCCTGGAGAAGATGATAAGTATCGTAACCCACAGGCCCCTCCATCCTTTCTCCCCCAGAGGTGTCAATCCTATCTAGAGCTTCTCTCCCCCAAATCAGGTTCCCTTTATTTTGGAGTTTGCATGTATGGTATTTTCCTCTCAGACCAGACCAGGGCATGGCCAGGCAGGAGTTCCCCTGGCTTGGATGGGTAAGATTGTCAGATTTTAGGGCAGCGCAGGCTGTGCGGGTTGTGTTTGCGCTGTGCACCCTAAGTTCATTTTCCCCAAAGTGTGCAACTTTCTGCATGGATGGCTTGTTTGTGGAGCTCTTGCTGTGTCATGCATTAAGCCTGGGGACTTTGCACCTCACTGCCTGGGGTCGGTTGGGGAGCTCCAGCTGCTGTGCCTGTTACTTTCCGGCCAGGGCCCTGGGGCCTCTTCACTGAGCACTGTTTGCTGGCAAAGCAGGAACCTGGTCTGTGGGGCTCTGAGGGACATTAAGATTTGGTAACAGACTTTGGACGAAGGTGTAAGTGCCAGCCCTGTCACTCAACTAACTGTGTGACCTTGGACAGGCCAGTTTACCTTCTTGAGCCTTAGTTTCTTCCACTAAAAAAAATGTGGCAAGCTTTCCTTGCCTTACAGGGTATTGTAAATCTTGGAGATAATATGAGCACAGTGACTGACACTAGCAAGTTCCTTTTTCAGGGAGGGAAATTTCTCTTGCCCATCATGGAGTCAGAATGAGATATTGGTGAGAGCTTCTTTACCAGCGGTCACTGTATACGATTTGCTCTTCAGTGAACTCAGTTCTATTTCCTGGCTTATCTCCTTGCCTCAGGAAGGTGCAGGACTTATGAGAGGTACTCTGTTCCCTTAGAATATGCAGAAAATCGACAGACTGTGCAAAATAAGTCATCTATTGAAGGAGCTGAGGTGGAAGGGGCCCTGTACCGTGCACTCAGGAATGTCAGGAATGCAATTGTCCATAGGCTGGGCCCAGGGTGTGGCAGGCACTTCACTTTACCACTGAGCAAGAGACCTCCTGAGTTTGCCCTGGAACCCCACCCTCTCTCTCATTTCCCATTTCCTTGCAACTTTATCAACTCTTCCTCTCCACCAGCTCTTGTAAAAGGCAAGGGGGTCAAGTCGGTAGAGGTCAGATGACAGGGGTGGGTTTGGGACAGGTAAAGGTGGTGGGTTTTCTTGAGCTAAGGCTGACCAGACTTGAAAGCCATTCTGTAAATGAACTCCCTGGGGGGATAAATGATTAAATGATTAAATAGTTCCTGTGGGTTGGTGCAATGGCCTCTCCTGCTTTGATTCTCTTTTGGGACAAATAGTTGTTCAGCTGATTACAGGAGGGACAAGATTCCCGTGCTTCAGACATACTCTCTGAGGCATCTCCAAATAGGTACTTGGGCTGCTTGCCCACTTTGCCTGACTGTTGTCTTTGGCTAGTGGTCCTAATACCAGGTGGGTTGTTGCCAGCTGTAAACAAAAGGCAGTCTGGAGGAGGGACCTGGTCTGCCAATGAGACTCTGCAGAGGGCTACCCTGACCAGAGAATTGCCAGCTGCCCAGGGTAGCCTGTGAAAGAGGTCTTAGACACAGCAGCTGTGGGCAAGTTCATTAGATCTCCACTGGACTGAAATTCCATCTTCCACCTCTTTGCTTAAGAATTATCAGAGCCCGTTGGACAACATACCACATGTCACTTCCTCTTGGTGAACAGAGGGAATGTGCGCAGAAGAGCCAGTTATGTCAGAACCATTTCTGGGCATGCATTCTCCCCCTAAGGCCAGGGGGTAAAGAACATTTGACTCAGGATCCTTTGAGTGAGGGTACTAGTACCTGCCCACTTACCTCTCAGGTACCATCCTGTTGGAAGCTGCACAAACTGACTACTGCAGTGGCATCTCATAACCTTCCTGGAGGCTGCAGCTGGGAGATCCTTGAATATAGGAGTTATGGGCCATACTACCCAGGGATATGCTCTAAATTTAGCATCCCTAAAGGAAAGAGGAAGGAAATTAGCCTTTATTGAGTACCTCTTAAGTAGGAGGCATTGTGTTAGGTCTTTTACTTAGGCAGCCAGTATTTACTGAGCATCTACTATGAGGCAGTCAGTGTGTTAGGTGCTGGCCATAAGCCAGATATGGTACCTTCCGTTATGGAAATTACATGTTGTTTCACATATTCCACATAATAACCTTCTAACATAGGTGAATTTATTCCCAGTTCACACATGAAGCTTCTAGTGGCTAAGTGACTGACCCTAGGTATCCCTTAGCCAGTGTCTGAATGAGAATTTACACTGACATTGGCCTAACTCTAAAGCCTAAACACTTTCCATTCATATTAGGTTGTCCAGGGAGTAATAAAGTGACCCAGACAGACTGGAACAGGAAGCCAGAGATGCTTTTGGCCCAAGCAAAACATGCCTGTGAAGATGCTCACTCTGAGCTGTGATCCTGGCATTGTTCAGGTAGCTGTGGGAAGGATAGTGCCCTTGTCAGGAGTAGCAGGTTCCCGAAAGCATGTGGGTAGCCTCAGATTCTGACACTGGTAAAACTCTGACATGGCAGGTGTCAAGTAGGTGTCAAAGTTTTGCCCAGAGTGGACTTCTAGTTAGTTTTTTCGTTGTTAAAACCATCTGTGGCTCTGCTAATAGATGACAGTGGTGTGTGTAGGGGGAGAAGGTATCCTGCCCCAGGTATTTCTACTTAATCATGGATTGATGCTTGAAGGACTGGAATTCCAGACTCTTAGCCACACTGTTTCCTGCCTGGAATCACCTGATGAAATGCTAACCCTGTTCTGGTTTCTCTTGTCCATCTGTCTCTCCCACCTGTAAAGTGGAATAATGATAGCCGGCTGCCATAGCTTGACTCATAAATGCTCTAGAACAAAAGCCCTTCCCTTACCTTAATTGTAGGGTAGAAGTACTTCTTTTAATGAATGGGCTTCCTCCCTCAGGGAACTGACTTTGACCCCTGGAGTTATTCCTTAAGAATCAAAGCTAGTCCCTGAGATATTTACCTAGAATATTGTATAAGTGATCTTACCTGAAGGGACAGAATTGTTTCTGGGGCTTTCCAATGGGAATATGGGCGAGGACCCAGGTGGGCCAGGCCACTTTGAGATAGCTGTCCCTGAAGAAACCTTTTAGCCTAATGGAAACATCATTGTTGAAAGAAGTGAACAGTGCATGTGGCAAGAAAACATAAAAACATAACTTTGCTAGGCATGGTGTCTCATGCCTGTAATCCCAGCTCTTTGGGAAGCCAGGGCAAGAGGATCGCTTGAGGCCAGGAGTTCGAGACCAGCCTGCATAACTTAACAAGACCCTGTCTCTTAAAAAAAAAAAACAAACCCCAAATCCCGTAACTTGGCCTTTCTCAGGCTGCGTGGCTTGTGTAGGTCTCCTCTTGCCTATTCTGGCTTCTTCAGCATGTATGCTTAGATGTATGCTTCAGGATATAAGCTTAGTGGAAGCACCTCAGCTCCCTTGGCAGATGTTGGCAGTTCTGCGGTTTTCTTGGGGAAATCCCATTAGAAACCCCAAATGTGGAAATTTCTAGTCATGTCATTCAGGGCCCAAAATGAGGTATAAGTGTCTCAGGGGCTTCCCCTTGGAACACCTACTTCTTCTGGGTGTACATTTTAGGTTGCTTTTGAAACTCTGATACCATCACAGGGTTTTCCAGACTTCCTAGGAATAATTTCCCCAGTAGCCCCATGGAACCCTTTAGTATCTGGTTGAAAATTACCCAGGTATTTTTTCAGGGGCCCTCAGTGAAACCTGGATGGTTTTCTTGACTTTCGTGTGGGCAGTCACACGAAAGTCAAGTTTGGGGTGCATAAAGCAGAATTCTTAGCTGTTTCTTCCCTCAGCAGATACCTGTCCTGAGGCCAGTGGGCTGCAGCGTCCTCTGTGCCTGACCTTCCTTGCTTTTCCAGTGCCCTCAGCCTTCCATCACGAGGCTCACTTTCAGCAGTTGTGGTTCCGTCTGGGTTTAGTGTGGATAGATAGAGGGGTAATTCCCAGTGCACTGCTCTTCTACAGAAACATAATCTCCTACCACCTTAATTAAGCAGGGCCCCTGTCCCCTCCCTCAACTCCAACCTCATTCCACAGAGTCTTCCCTAAGGACTCCCTCCCTTTTCTTTGAAGGAGTCACTCTGCTCCTGGATCCTCTCCTCTTTTGTCCCTCCAGCCATTAGTCTGTCTTCCTTATTCCCATTCGGCAGACCCGAGTCAGACAATCCCACTGGGTCTTTTTGTTTAGCCTGGGGAAGAGAAGACCCGGAAAATGTGATCACCAGCTTCAAATATCTAAAGAAAGAGGGACTGAGCCTTTTTTATTGGTATGGTACCTAGCAAAACTTAGATAAATAAAAATAAATTCACAGTTGGTAGAGCTTAAATTAGTGCAGAGAAGACATTTCTAACAGATTCACTCTCTCCTGGTTTTAGGAGCTCCTGAGGGTGGAGTGCACATCTTGTCCATGCTTGTTAACTCAGCACTGAGCAGATAGATGTCTTGAGCATAGCAGATACCTAACGAGAAATACCCACTGAATTTCTGAAGAAACCTGACCCTTATCCCAGAATAACAATATTGGAAGTGGCCCTTTACCTAATCATTCA